AAAGAACTTTGTTGAAGGAAAGAAAACATCTCATAGATGCCTGTCTCTTAGTTTTTAACCTTCCTCTCACAACCTTATAAAAAGTAGTAATCATTAATTTAGTATTTGGCAAGGAGAATGGACTATCCCTGGACTTTGGCCAAAATTTCCCCTACAGCAAAGATTTTCACATACACTCTTTTCACATATGAGAAGTTTGATATTCAGGAAAGTGAAGTTTTCTTGTCCAAATCAAAGGTTTGGAAATGGCACTTGTGGCTATTTCTTTTCTACTAAGACTCACCAGCAATGCCTTTTGATATTCAAGGAGCTTAATGTTTATATAAACCTTAGCATTGTTATATATTATTTACTTTCTCACTGAATTTCACTTACGATTTAGTAGGCTGTATTGAGAAGCACAGAAAGAAGACTAAACAATTAAAATGTGTGTTCCTAGGAGTTATATCTAGCACATTTATTTTTTACTTTTAAAAAGTATTATAAAATTGTAGAGATAGGGGACCTAGTATACGTGTAACCACATTCTTATTAATCATCATGATGGGATCAAAAGTGAGGAAGTAAAGACTAAAGTTTATCTTTTCTTCCTATGAAGAAAGCTTGTGCATCACCTGCTGTGTTCCCACATGGCTAAATGCACCTGAACATGAGCATCTGAAAACAGCACACAGTAGTGGTTTCTGAAATTGCCCTCTATAGTGCTATGGACCCATTTTCTCCATTACTAGGAAAATCAAAGAGTTGGAGGGGAGCATGATGTGTGAGAAAGGCTTGAAGAATTCAAGTTCTTCATTAGCTTAAATTAATTGCAATGAAAAGTAGGGCTAAGTGAACCATAAAGTACTTTTGGAATCAAGGACTGTCTAAGAAGCTTAACCATATGCCTTGTTTCATTCAAAATGCTGGCATGTGCATGGCTTTCTTTACCTCAGGGAATGAGAAATGTGTGGAAGGAAAATTACACTATGGATGGAAAGAATGTAAGAAAAACAGAAACATTTTCAATATTTGCTAGGCTAAAAGTTAAAAACACACATATCATGAAATCTCATTTGGCTAAGTGTCAATGATACACAATAGCTAGAATTTAGTAGTATAAAACTGTTCCAAGAAAAAAAGCAATTTACAATAATGTGCAAAAAAATAAATTGAGAGGAGAGATTGTATGATTCAGGAAATGTTGTATGTGTAGTTGTAAATCATAAATTCTAACAGGAAAGAGCAATAACATACAAGAAAAGAGCAAATGAACAAGATTTGAGTCTATGAGAAAAGAAACTGGATGTATTCTGTTGCAAAAATAATTGTAAACCAGAATTCTGCCTAAATAGAATATTTTAATGACTAAGATGGATTGCAGAATATTCTACCCTAGTTTAACCTATTATGATTTCTTTCTTCTTTTTAAAAAAGTCCTCATCTGAGGATATGTTTATTGATTTTTAGAGAGATGGAAGGAGGGAGGGAATGAGGGAGAGTAAGAGAGAGAGAGAGGGAGAGAAAGAGGGAGAGACAGAGAGAGAGAGAGGGAGAAAGAGAAACATAGATGTGAGAGAAAAATGTTGATCTATTGCTGACCGGGTAGCAAACATGCAACATTTTGGGTGTATGTGATAGTGCTCCTGTCAACTGAGCCACCCAGCCAGGGCTGTTCTGATTTCTTTTTAAGATTAGCAGTCCTTGGGAAAGATCCAGCCCAGATGCTGGTGTTTGAAGACAGCCTTCTTTATCTTTAGTTTCATTTTAAAAGCTGGTTTAGGCTCTTGGGTGTTTAAAAAACACATATCTGAGCTCGTTCCTGGGCCAGACAGTGTGAACATTGTGGATTCATGTACTTCTGGGACTGGGCTCAGATATTTTGAATCACTTTTGGTGGCTGCTGACTCTTAAAGCCATTAGATTCAAGTGGTTGGTCTAGTCATATTTTATTAGCACAGCACCAGACCTCCCTGGAATTCCAAAGGAGTTTGGGATGAGGCAATAATGAAAAGAATATATGCCAATCAGGAATTGTCCTTTTCTTGTCTTTAAATGGATTTTCCTTCTGTCAGCTGTAGGTGAATATTTTAAGGTCCTTGAAAGATCACATTTTTTCCATTAGTGAGTCATTCCAGGAGTAAGGCGTAGATGAGGTAAGATTTCACTACTTAAACTGTCATGGTGGTATGAAAAATTTTCCCCAACCTCCTTCTCAGATATATACACATACTTCAAATACCTAAGACAATTTAAAGCACAGGGACAAGAAGATTTTATTGACTGATTTTGCACACCATAGACTGCACAAGTTTCCACTTATTTCCTGTGGCTGCTAGTTTCTATATTTTGATTATGAAATATAACTGATACAGTGTCATGGGGAACTTACTGGGCTGGCAGAGTGAAGACTTAAGTCCTCAGTCCTGCTCATTTGTAGTTTTTATTTTAACCTCTTTCAAGGTAAAAAGAATTGGGATTAAGTGAATTTTAAGGCCCTTTTCAACCCTAACCTTTGCAAATTTATTGAAAGTCAAACTTTAGTTTTGGAGATACTTGTTTTTTAATGATTATGCTTTCTTAGACAGTTGGAGTATGATAGTTGTTGATAAAATGTTACCTTTACATCATTAGTTTCTATGCTATATTTACTTAAGGAATGGCTATTATGAGGGACTGATAAGATCTAGGAATAGAGTGTTACTGAATATGTTTATCACCCACTGTGCCTTTAAGCTTCAAAAATCTGGCCTGCCCTATGGTTGCTATCACTAACCCTTGTGCTAACTTGTTCTATTACCGAGTTTTGCTGTGTATAATGCACACTTTTTTGCCCAAATTTTTGAGGGAAAATAAGGATGTGCATTATACATGGGTAGTACCTGAAATACCTTGTATCTGTTCTTGCATTTTGTGATTATTTGTTACATAAAATTTCTTGTAGCATAATACGTTAAAAATAAGTGCTAAAATTCCTTTATGTTACAAAACCCCCCCAAGTATCTAAATATCAACCAATCAATCAATCAATCAATAATTGAATTAAAAAATTTAAATGAAGATTCTTTTCCTGAAAGTTTGGGCTAGAAACATGGGTGTTATTATACACAGCAAGATACAGTATTTCTTTCAGGTTCTAGTAGGTATTCCTTCGGAAGTTATAGAGGTGCACCATTTTGCTAAAGTTTTGAGTACTTTGTTGTTCACTAAAATCAAGAATTATTTCTTGAAAACTGTCATAATCCATTTTTATTATTTTACAATTATCACATTGAAGTGTATAATGGGTATTTTTCTTTCCACACTGTAGGATGAGTAACAGAGATTCAACAGCGATGAACACAAACGGCATGGTCCCTGTTCTGTGTAGGAGCGTCAGGGAAGGCTTCCCTACAGCAGTCGGGTCTGAACTACAGTCTGAAGGATAATAAGCATGAGCTGTGAGCCGCGTGTGGAGGCTGGGGCAGGGGTCAGGAGAGTGCCAGAGGAGATGAAGTGCAGCAGAGTTCCTGCTTGCACTTTGGGGTTGATGGACCAAGGATAACCCATTTCTCCGCCTGCCAGTTGACTGAGACGCAGTCCATGAGGACAAGTCTCAGCTGTCCAGCTGCAAGAGGGGCAGTGGGGGAGCGACTTTGGTTCATCTCTCTTCAGGAAGAAACAAAACCACCCTGCTCCACTTACACCCCCAGCCCCACCCTATTGTGTGCTTACAATGTGGAGGAAAAACAGAAGGTCTTATGCAAGCTACAAATTAAAAGGGGGACAGCTATGATCTAGAAGTGCCCTTAGCACTTGCCACATCCCACTTGGGGAAGAGACTCAGGAGACTGCAGGGATCCCCCAGAGGCACAGCGATAGTTCGCCCCAGTGGTAAGAATATTGTCAATTAAAGGCATAGGGAAAAACAGCAAAGCAGATGAGATCTAGAAAATTGAATTTCCTGTTGTTCCCACTGGACTTGGGCAGTTTCATCCCTGAAATTTCTCTTTCTTTGCACAGGAGCTAATGTATGTGCCTCTTGCTACTCCTGAGAGTTTTCAGTAAAGTGGAAGGTACAGAAGGGAGAAGCTCAGAGACAGCTTCTTCTGGAATTGAGTTATGAACACAAGTGCACTCAATTGGACTGCATTTAGCATAAAACATCTAGAACATCTAGGTTAAACAGACAGTGAGGACTGTCTGTTTCTATGAACTGTGAGGACTATCTTATCTATGAAATATAATGTCATATATACTAGGGAGGAAAAAGAGGAGTCTTTTGTTATGATATATATGAGGTCTGTCCTGAAAAAAGTCCAGCCATTGTTAACATAATGAGAATAGTTTGCATGGCATTGCTGTAACCTGGCAGCCAAGGAGAATGGACTGGAATGCACATGTGTGAACAATGATGACTTCACTGTACTAGTCAGTGGGGGCTATAGAAGCAGTTGAGTGAGAATGTGCACTGTGTGGCCATCACATTAAAAATGACTGAGGGAATAGAGCAACAATTCTGCATCAGATTTTGTGTTAAGCTTGAACATTCCTCTGTGGGAACTATTGGGATGATTCAGAAGGCTGCAGCTATGGGCATTTGGTGATTGGCAGCTTCAGCATGACAACACACCTGTTCACTCATCACATCTCATGCAGAGTTTTTTTTGCAAAACATCAAATCACCCAGGTGTCTCAGTCTGCTCCCTACAGCTCAAATTGGCACCCTGTGACTTCTGTTTTTTCCCCGAAACTAAAATCGCTTTTGAAAGTGAAGAGACCATCAACCAGATTCTGGAAAATATGACAGGCAGCTAATGGTGTTTGGGAGAACTATGTAAGGTTCCAAGGTACCTACTTTGAAGGAGACTGAGGCTTCATTGTCCTATATAAAATGTTTCTTTTATTTTCTTCAATAAATGTCTCTATTTTTTATATTACGTGGCTGGACACCTTCTGGACAGACCTCGTATTTCATTTTACTTTCCAAAGGGGAAACTGACTTAAATTTGTGGACAGCGTGAGTTGAAGTTCTGCCTCACCTTGTTCACAGTAGGCTCCAGTGGCTCCTAGAGGACAGAAACAGGTGTATCCACGAGGCAGTGAAACACAAGTTGCTCCTTTGCTGCACTGGTGTGGAGGGTCATGTTCAGGGTCACAGGTGGAAACTGTCTCTGTGCAGAAGGCTCCTTTCCACCCAGTGGGGCAGTCACAGCTGTAAGTTGAGAAACAAGACCACATGATTTGAGCACTTGATTTGAGTAGAGACAGATATACACTGGTGTATCAATTGCCCTGATGTTACCATGGCAATTTTGACTGAGGTTCCAAAATTATCAAAGTGAATTGTAATTCAAACTACCAAGATCCAAATTGTCAAAGATTGTCACTGGTTATGAGATTACTGGAGATTACTGGATCCATCCACATCAAGGATTTTAAAAGGTTCAGGATGTCGAAATTGAAAGAGAATTTTGCAAGAATGATTTGTTAGGACAAAATAGCATTGTAAGTCCTTTTCCTCACCCCATAGTACCACTTCCTCCCAAGGAGGAAGGCTGTGAATGGAGTTGCTGATTCCTAACCTTGAGCCTTGATGTATGTACATTCTGTGCCATTGGGTCCTGGGCTGCAGAGGAAGCTGCGAACCCCTCCAGAGATGTAGCCCATGGCAGCAAACCCCAGGGATGAATTGTGGCCCTCTGAGTTGGGGTTAATTTGGGAACATACAAAAGGGATCTTGGCCAGAGGGTATCTTGGTAGCTGAGGAGAACTTGGCAGTGAAGGTAGTCAATTAATTACTGGGGCAGAATCTGAGAGGTAAAGGGGAGTGCCCAGTTTGAAGGGAGACCTTGTTTGGGTTGAGACAGTGATCCTGGGAGCAGCACAGCGGGGAGTCCCTGATGGACCCACTAAAGGTAGAATTGCCAGATAAAATGCAGGAGACATAATGAAATTTAAATGTCAGGTAAACAATGAATACATGTTTAGTATAAGTATATCCTGTGCAATATTTGACTTTCAAATAAGCAATGTTTGACATACACTAAAAATTATTTATTTATCTGGAACTCAAATTTATCTTAAGTGTCCTGTATCCCCCCCCCCCCCCCCCAAATCTGTCCACCCTGCACCAGGGAACCTAGGAGAAGCATTAGATTTAAATCCTCACCAGGTCCAGACAGCACTAAACCATCGGACAACAGCTTGAGTCAAGGAAGCCCATTCCAGCGTGGTGTGGGGAGCGAGTCAGGAGCCACTCAGCTAGGGAGGGGGCGGCAGCAGCTTGCTTGCACCTCCTTCAGAGACTTCCTACTCATGCTGTAAGCCCTGGCTGGATTTAGTCTTGAAGGGTAGAGTGTTAACATTTTGAAGTAGGCCCTTTGAATGAATGAACTGAGAGTGTATTTGTAAATTAAAGTGTCTATTAATGGAGTCAAAGCAGAGAATTCAACTGACTTCCCCATGTTTTAATCCAGGACCAAGCAAAGGACGACTCTTCCTAAGCAGGTGTAAAAAGAGGTTGAGAGATGTAAGTGAATTACTTTATGAATACACACATCCATGACTCCTGGGTCATAGTCACTTGCTCTCAGTTTGTTACGATGGTCCTTGCTTACTGGTAAACTGAAGACATTGATGACATTAACAGCACAGATGGGTAGTTAAGGCATCACCAACAGTACAATTTCTAATGTAAGCAAGTCAAGATAAGGCAAGTAGCAAATGGAAGTCTCTTTAATCTTGTTTTTTTTTTTTTTTTTTTTCCCCCTTAGGCTGAAAGAATCCTCGTAGATTCTGGAGATTAAAGGCAGCTCATACAGTGTCCTCTAGGTAGGTCAATCTGTATGACCCTTTATAAGCCATGTAGCAGAGGAGGTAAGGACAATGAACACTCTGTAACCGTCATTAACATCCTTGATCATTTTACAGAAACAATAGGTAAGAGTTTCATAAAATGGAGATTAAACAAAAATACCATGGCAAGACTGACTTTTTTTAGCACTTAACATGTATCTTTCCACTACTTTCTCTAAGCAAATTTAACATTAAAATTGCTGGGAAAAATTGCCCTGGCTGGTATGGCTCAGTTGGTTGGAGTGTCGTCCCCTAATCTGAAGGTTTGCAAGGTTGGTTCTCAGTCAGGGCACATGCTAAGGTTATGGGTTCAGTCCCTGGTTGGGGTGTATATGGAAGGCAACCAATTGATGCTTCTCTCTCTCACCAGTGTTTCTCTTTCTCCCTTCCTCTCCCCTTTCCTCTCTCTCCAAAAGCAATGGAAAAAAATTTTCCTCAGGCGAGGATAAAAAAATTAATAAATAAAAACATAAGAATGTTGGGAAAATTGGATATTCACATGTAAAAGAATGCAATTAGACCCTTATCTTATTACCATTCATAAACATTATCTGGAAATGAATTAAAGACCTGAAAACACAAAATTGAAGACTTGAAACCACAAAATGCCTAGAAGAAAAGAGTGTTCAGTTTTGCTTATTCTTAAATTTCATATAAATGTAATGATACTGCATATATTCTTCAATTACTGCCTTTCCCTCAGGATTACCTTTTTGGGATTCACCCATGTTGGTACACGTGCCTGTTGCATTATTTGTCAGTGTGAGAAGAATTCTTGTTTTTTGTGTAGTTGAAATTTCAGTATTTTTTTTATGGTTTCCATTTTTTGTGACTTATTTAAGAAATATTTCCCTATTCCAATGTTGGAAAGATATTTTATTAACATGGTGTTTCCTAAAACTATTATCAATTTTTCCTTTTACATTTAAGTCTTCGTACACCAGAAATTACTTTTTGTGACTGATAGGGGTAGAGATTGTATTACAGTTTTCTATCTGGGTGGCCAATAACCCTAGCAATCTTTATTCAATTGTTCATTGTTTTCCACTGAGGAGCCATGTCCATTTATGCATGATCCTGCACCCTGTGCCCTGGCCATTAGCCTGTTGGTCTAACCTTGTGCCAGTACCACACTGTCTTAATTTCTCTGACTTAATAACAGGTGTTGATATCCACGATGGCAAATTCTGCAATCCTTTCTTCTGTCCAGAGGTGTCTTGACTATTCTTAGCCTTTTGCTCTTTCACATCTTTTTCTGTCAACTAATTCCAGGGTCAACATAGGCAAATTTCCTGCTTTCTCCTCAAGTAAAATGGGATTTTTAAAATTTATATTTACATGAATGGATGTATTTTTATTATAAAATATTATTATGACTTCTAGGCTTTGGAAACATATTCCAATCTGCCCTCCATAATAATTGTACCAGTTTACATTCCCATCACCAGTGAATGAGAATGCTCCTGAAAAAAGAGATGTATATGTAATTGAAAATATGGAACATTTTTATAGACTTCTTGCTTTTTATTAACCCAATCCTTGTTTATTAAAATAAAAATGATTTAGTGTCTGCCTATACACATTTATCAAGAACATATTGATTTTAGCCCTGGCCAGGTTGCTCAGTTGGTTGGTGCATTGTCTCTTACACCAAAAGGTTGTGGGTTTGACCCCGGGTCAGGGCACATACCTAGGTTATAAGTTCGATCCCCTGTTGGGGCACATATGGGAAGCAACCAATTGATGTTTCTTCTTCCCATTCATATTTCTCCCTCTCTGTCTTTCTGTCTCTCTTTCTCTCTTCTTATCTCTCTAGGGTCAGTAAACATATCCTTGGGTGAGGATTTAAAAAAAAAAGAACATATTGATTTCAAATTCCCACATTTTCCTCTGGTATTGGGCAGTCTAATCAAATTTATACTTCATCAAAACTTATTATTGTTGTTGTTTTAGTGTTTGCTATGTGCATAGCACTATCTTAGGTCATCAGGATGGTTAGAAGATGTGCAACGTGTGAGCTCTGGGCCGGCTGAGATGGCTGTGCTGGATACTGCACTGCCAGGCTGCACGTGCGGAGGGGCCCAGGGAGCAGCACCAAGTGCGGCCAGAACCCAGCAGCCAGCGTGGGGAATTACTCGGAGGATAAGAACGTAATTATTATCATGCCACATGTTCACCAATGCACTTCTAGACGCTGGTTGTAGCAGGATTTTAAAACAAAATTTCTCATCTGTCTGGAATTTACAGACAGAGGCATAGGCACATACATGAAATGGTAACAGCAAACAACAATCTCTGAGGATCTTGTCATATCATTAAATAGGGTGTTTATGTGGGTGAGGATGAAAGGAAATTTTTATGCTAATTGTATCTAAGCTAATAGTTGTGTAAAATAAAAGTGTGAAAAGTTGTTAAGGTTTTCTAAATGGAGAAAAACAAAATATAAAATTAAACTGCTACAAAATTACATGATTTTGATTATTGTTTGACAGTCACAAAGCATAAAATATGTAAAGACATTTTATACAAAATAGGCTGTCTTACTAATTTCATAAAATACACTATAATAGTTCATATTACAGAAATTTAATATAAAAAAATTATAATGTGATTACTTTTTATGATCATTGCGCCATCTAGTGGTTTGTTTTTGTCACTTTGAAAAAGGGAAGAATGAAATTAATCTCATTGCATATAGACAGATTTGGCAATGGTAAAACATTTATTTTTATGTTAAGTATAGCTTAAATCACATTAAACATAATATATAATGAAGATTCCATAACTTATTTGAAAAATAGCATCTTAAATTAAATAAATCCTCATATAATTCTTCCTAGAATTTTTAGGTCTGAAGCAATTAGCTATTTGTACAAAGATTTAAAAAATCACCTAAAATCACTTCCAAATACCATATACTACTTCTTTACATTATATTTTAAGGGAGATTTTCATTAGAATGATTTTTCTTTTTCTTTCCTCCCTAGCTTCTTTAGAACCCTACGGAATGTAGATAATAAAACATCTCATATAGTTTTTTTGTTATTTTCCACTTTGTGTAACAAATTTTTTTTAACACTTGAAATTACTTCATTAACATTTCTTCCTTTAACCACAAAAGTACTCTTCTGCGCTGAGAAAGAGTAGGTTTTGGAGAAGCATATGTGTGAAGTGGGGTGTCCATAAGTGGAAAAAGTAGGAAAAAAAGAGAGGTAGATATGCAGTCATGCAAACAATATATTTATACACAGAGTGAGGCAGAAATAGGTTTACAGTTGTGAGTACATGAAACACAGAGTTTATTCTTGTGTCATTATTTATTAAGTATTGTATTATTTTCCGTAGGAGCAACTGTAA